GCTCAGAGAAAGAAAATAGAATCGCGCGCTTATCTCGTAACACGCGCTGCGTCTCGGGAGACGAGGACTCAGCCGAAGTCCCTCCCCTGCCCGCATCCATCATCACGGCCACATCGTCCCCCCCGCAGCAACAAACCACGCCAGGCAAACAGCAGAGCTGCAACTCCGCAGCTCGCCTGAACAAACATCGCCGCCTACCCCTTACCTCCACCCCCTCTCGCTCCAACTCCATCCGCCGCCACCACTCCCACTGCTCTCCCCCAGTCCGCGAGCCCCGAAGCCCGACCCCTCTCCCTCCTTCCCGCTCCGTCTTGCTGCTCGCTCGTGCCGACCCCTTTCCTTCCCACCCCTCTTCCTGCTCCCTATGCACGCCTCCCACTACCCCCATCATCCCCCCACCATGACCCCCCCCCCCCCCACACTATTTCCCTTCTCCCTCCCCTCCGTCACCTCCCCGACCCCGTATCTCACGCATGCCACCGCTGGTATCGCCCCTCGACGCCCGCCTCGCCCTCCTCCGTCTGCCCCCTCCATGCCCAGCACAGGCGCCCCACTGCAGCGGCCCTAGCCTGTGCGGGCCCCGCCAGCAGCTGGCAACTTGGCCATGAACGGACTGCCAGGCAAATGGCTATGAGTGAGCACCTGGGCGAGATCATTTGAGGAAGCTGTCCCTTACTGAAGGCCAACCGGGATTTACGAATACCTATGGTGGAGGCCACACATTAACGTGCACGCACCTCTGCTGTTAATCAAATCATCGCCTCCGCATAGTATGAAGAGGGCCTCCAGGACCCCATCAGTGCGGCCGGGATGGAGTTGTCACGCAGCTCGAAGTTGACGCGAGCATGGGAATGGGGCTTCGGAAGTAGAAGTTGTGGATTTTCAGCGGGGGAGACTCTACACCCAGCCGCCTTGATCTCTTCCAGTGCTGATCTCTACACACCCCACGAGATAAACTATATATTTTGTTTTAATTGTTTACCAGGTAAGGTCAACTGAGCTATATATCTCTTTTTTCAGAAGCGACCTGGCTATCACAAACGATGGCTCAACGAAGTGGCTTATCACGTGGAAACGTTTTAGCATCCAAATACTCGAAACGCACGTTTATAAATGTGGAGGAAAAAAACCGGAGCACCCGGAGAAAAATCCAACGTGATCGTGGGGAGAGAAAGAAAGAGAAACATGCAAATTATAAGTAAACTGGCGTCAGGGTCGTGATCGAACCCACGACCTCCTGTAAACCAGGCGAGGTAGTTAACATCTCGCCACGGTGGTGCCCAAAATGAATTCATTTAATTCAACTAGCTTGACTCCACGTTGGCTGGTCGCGAGTTAGAATCTCGCCAACGCGGAACCTAGATACCCATTTAAGATAAATAACAGAGGTTTGCCTCTTCTTGGTTCTTTCGGTAAAGTCACGTAGAAGGGAAGTAATAAAATAATAAAAATAAAACATAATTAAACAATTCTCACGTTTCGCCTCGACGGACCTGGTTTTCACCTGAGGACGGCTGCTTGCGTTGTGGCCGAAACGTCGTGAGAATTGTTTTATTATGTTTTATTTTTATTATTTTATTACTTCCCTTCTACGTGACTTTACCGAAAGAACCAATAAGATGAATCCCTGCAGTCACGAAAGCTTTAAAGAGGTTTGCCTGTTTCAAGATATCGAACGATAACTGATTTTTGTTTGGTTGCCTCGTCCTTGTCCTTGTACTGCTTGACTTTTGGTGGCATTTTCTCTATAGCACTGGTGAGACAGCCATGCAGGAGGCTGGTGTAGGCCACTCATGGAGTGACTCATGCTGCCAGCTATGGCTGCAAAGTTCGGTCGTACGTGTTACGTATATCGTTTATTGTTAAATTTGAATCACAGTTCCTATGATCACTGTTACGTTGTTTTTATAGCTTTATTTTGGTGATTTCGAAAACTTTTGGCTTAGCCATATTTGTTTGTTGTAGTACAGAGTTAGACTGATAACTTTAATCTAAATTGTCTTATGGTTGTTATTGTTTGACTTGCATCCCACTGGGATTTTTGCACATAGCGTTGATATACGGTGCTTTTTCTGGAAAACTTTGCTGTTTTTTCTTGGAATTTTCTGTTGCCCGTAGTCACTTTAAGATGTTTCTTGTTCATGTTTTTGTTTGTTGTGGTTGCACCCGATTCAAGAGCCGCATGACTCACAGGGCTATACCTAATAAATGAACTGAAACTGAACTGAACTCAGTTTCAAGGACAATGCATTTTTTACAAGTGTGTGTGGTTAACGCAGACTCGATGCCTTGTAATCGATGTCTAGTTGGTGTTTTCACATCTCCCACATTCTGTATTTATGCCAGAGAGGTTAAAGCGGTGTTACCATTCATTAAGACGCGTTTATTGTAATTCCCCTAGGCCACCTCTGAAGTCGTCCCTCCCGTCGCTCTCTCGCCAAGCAGACAGGGGCTGTCGCTTGAGATGGCTGCGTGGTTTCCAACAATTCCCTTCCCCTGCGGGTGGGCTGATACTTATTGAGCGGCCAAATTACATCACCGTCCCCACGGCAGCCTCGCCTCTCCCAGGAACCGGCGGTGACCATCACACGCGTGGCGTGCGAGCGGAATGTGGCTGATGTCATCCTGGCATTTGAAAGCGTGCTGCAGGTTCTTGCTGAGCGCCCTTGTTGTTGTTGTGGTTGTTGTCAGGCCCCCGGGACTGGCCTTCGGGCAGCAGTCCGTCGGCCAAAATCCCGGTGGGACGATCCATCCCGAGGGCCGGTGAGCCGGTCTTTGGGGAAATTACAAAAGTGGTCAGATTATAAAAAAAAACATATTATTACCTCTAAAGTGTACGCTTCATTGCTTATTTATGCTCTCTGTTGACATTAAGTCACCATATTTAGTAGCCCCGAAAAAATCTGCCTAACCGATCACATTCGTTTTTTTAACCCAGCCTCAGTGGGCCAATAAGATCGCACGACAATTTGGGTCCGCTGTGTTTGCAAAATGCCTGGGCAGATTTTTTCGTCCCAGTCCGTCACTGGCTGTTGTTGTTGTTGTGGTTGTTGTTGTTGTTGTTGTTCAGGACACCTGCGTTCACGCTGTTTGTTTTGTCGCATATTTCCGCCTGCTGCTCGCGCATTATTGTCTGGCTGTTGGATGTCTGGCCTCCTCTGCAGCTAAAGAAAGTGCTTGATGTCGTTTTTTGTTGTTGTTTGATGTTTCCTTTTTTCAACAAGACAAAGGCAAAGGACCTCGTGGACAAAGACGTTCGAGCGATGGTCAGGCCCAGATAAAGCGTCACAGCCATGGCAAAATGTCAAGCGGCAGCGCCGTGGATGGTGGAGAAATGTTATCTCTCTTGCCTGGTATGGAGGAGGTCGTGGGTTCGATCCCGATCCCGACCCCGACCCTGACGCCTGCTGTATGTTCTGAGTTTGCATGTCTTTCTCCCTGTGGTCGCGTTAATTTTTCTCCAGGTCCTCCGGTTTTCCCCTCCATATTTGGAATCAACATCCGTTTAGAGTATTTGGCTGTTATAAATGTGCACGTGATGAGTCACTTCGTTGAGCTTTCGTTTGCGGCCAGGTCCCTTCTCATAAAGAGCTACGTAGCTGAATGGACCGTACCTGGTCAAATGTTTTTTTGTTCAAAAAATAGTGAAGGGTCTTCGAGAAAATCGGCGACAAGTGGAGAACTCGCAGAGGGTAGAAGTGTACTGCCAAAAAAAAACTCCTTACATCTCAATGTAGTGCTCCACCAGTTACAGGAGGAACGTTTTGTACTTTCCGTTTTTGAGACTCACAGGATGTGCATTTATAATCCCGGAAAGGGTCGCCGAGTTTCCAGACTGAGGGTCCCGCATTGGAATGTCTGATAAATTCCTTCGTGAGCGTTTTGCAAGTGGGAGGAAACCGAAGTGCCTGGAGAAAAGGTACGTACACACACACAGAGGGGTGGGGGGGGGGCAACAATCTTACATGTAAAAAACAAACAGGTCAAGAACCCACTTGCTGTACTGCCACCGCCTCGCAGCCCAGCATGACGAGCGTTTCACAATGCACGATGTGAGACACCAGCTCTGTCTACAAAGACAAAGATCCCCCATGTAGCCTTAGCAGACTGTTGGGGCAAGTGCTGCAAGCTAATGCCAGTACGGCACAAGAGAGGATGGATGACCAGCTACACGCCCGGCCGCCTTTGTCTCCCCAGTGACGATGTTTACCACGCCACACCAGGTACTCATTTGAGGCTGACCCAACCTAGGGGAGGCCCGGGACCGGTTCAGATAATCGTCGCCGTTGTTGGCCGTGAGCGGGAATTGAACTCGGGTCGCCGGGTTCGTAGCACAGTGCGCTAACCGCTGCACCACCGCTCCCCACATGGTGTGTGCATAGCAGAGGTCTAAGAAGGAATCGGTTTGGCAAATTCAAATTGAGTCTTAGGTTCACGATGCATTCATTCATTCATCGAATTTCGCACCTCCGATTAGCACGGTCGGCTACGTACGGTGCTTAAAAAGTGTAATATATACGCAGCACAGACGTTTGGGTTGCTTTCTTGAAAGCCTGAACGTAAAGTGAAACATCGTATATAGAAACGTAATTATCATAAGGGTCCCATCATATAACCTAGGATGCGTTCCCAAGAAAATATTTTCGGACCCAAAAAACCTGAAATGAACACTTTTCAACACAACTAAGATATTTTACGCGTAAATATATGGATAATAACTAGACAGGCCATTTAAAACAAAGACTGTGTGTCATTTACGAACCACTACACTTGTGGTTGCAGGTCGCGTGAGGTGTGGAGGAGAGGAGGGGGACAGTGGGAACTCTGCCGCTGCCTGTTGGGGAGTACGCGCAGTACGTACAGTATGCACGAGGTGCGCACAGTACATACAGTGCATACAGTGGGTGGTGCGTACAGTACGTGCAGTGCGTATAATCAAAAAGCGTTGTGTAACGTACAGTAGTTTGAACTATGCGGCTTGAGCAGGGGAATTAACTGCCTGGAACTGCATGAAATGTATGCACGGACAAACGACACAACGTGCATTTACTAATCAGGTATTTCGATTATTATTTTCTTTACATCCAAAAATATCATGTAGATTTGAAAAAAAATAAGCGTAAGAGCGAAACAAACGAGATGTTAAAAAAATAAAAAAAAACGTTAACTTTAAAAAAAGTTTATCGAATTCACGTATATCGGGGTATAATTGAACCTTATGGCGTCCCGAATAAACGGAAGTCTAAATCGTAATTATTTCTATTCTTGGTTCTTTCGGTAAAGTCACGTAGAATGGAAATAATAAAATAATAAAAATAAAACATTATAATAATTCTCACGACATTTCGGCCACAACGCAAGCAGCCGTCCTCAGGTGAAGAACAGAGCGTCCTAATGTCTTTCCGACAGACCTGTTCTTCACCTGAGGACGGCTGCTTGCGTTGTGGCCGAAACGTCGTGAGAATTGTATTTTATTATGTTAAATTTTTATTAATTTATTATTTCCCTTCTACGTGACTTTACCGAAAGAACCAAGAATATGAATCGCTGCAGTCACTAAAGCTTTAAATCGAAACGTAATTATTTAATTTCCTTTTGGCGATTCCGTCCCACCGCGCACATCAACGCCGCGACCCGCCTGGCGCGGCTCATTCTGTTGTCATGTCGTGTCCAAGCGCAGCAGCGAGGACGAATGCGCAAGAAGAAACAAAACCTTGAAACTTTGATGAGCGCATCGTGTAGAGCTCGTCGAGAATAATAGATTGCCGTGTCGTTCGCCTTCAACAGACATAAAATGCCGTCGCAACGCAGTTTCATGCGAGAGCCGGGGGCTTATGGGGACCCCGGGGTCCCGCCACGAGGTTCAATTCTTGAATCGAAATGCAATCCTGAATTACACGCTCGTCAAGCCTACGAAAATGGTAAGCAGGTAGGCGTACCAATGTTAAAACGCTGGTCACGCACACCGCTTTTGAGAGCTATTCGTATCGCTCTATGCACTCATTTTAGCGCAATTTTCACTGAAAATCGGTGTGCGGTATAATCGGTCTAAACATTGACAACCCTACAGCCGGGCGGCAGTTGGTGGCGGCTACTTTCTGCTCGTGGTCGCCTCGAATCCCCAGCACAGGAGGGTGCAGCGAGGGTTGGCGGATGGCACGCAGATGGCGTGAAACCTCCGTTCCTGAGAGCGTCGAGGAGGTGGCGAACCCTGGCTCGCCAGGAGAAGGCGGTTACAGTGATCGCCATCCGTGTCCATCTGTACGGGGATGGAGAGCTGCTCCCATCGTGCCCGTGGGTTTTCTCCGGGCGCTCCGATTTGCTCCCACGTGTGATAAGAACCCATTCACTGCCTGAAAACACCTTACAAAATGAGACCCAGTGCAGGACCTTCCTATGCCTCATTGTGGCTCTGCTGGATAAATAAACGTTAATAACAAAGATAATTGTATTAAATAGCACTTGTCCCCATTGGCTGCCATGAGTGAGTGGTCAAAGTTCCACGGTCTAATCGAAGGGGCCAATTTAGCCAACACAACTGAGTTTCCAAAAAGTGGCACTGATGTTCAACCGGTTGCCATCAACCATGATCGATCCACTGCTGGATGAAGGCCTCATCTCATTCATTGACTGAAAGAAGAATATTTAAATTAAAGCCCAATTTGCAGGACCCTCTTGACAAAGTAGTCCTATGACTCAGTGAGTAAATCATTTATTATATTATGAAATCAGTAGGGTTGGGAAGTTGCGGAATTGCGACAAATTCATGAATCACTACCACTCTAATATCCTGTGTTCCTAAACGATCAGCTCTGTCACAACTAGTAACGGCCAGGCCAGGCCAAGGTTTTCAACCCCAATATAAACCCTAATCCTAACTAACCCGAGCCCTATCCGGCCTTATCTGCTCAAGGGGAGGGAGGGCACGAACTCACTAATTTGAGCTCCCAGAATCAGCGGCTTGTGTCAAGTGCCAGGTGATCCCCGGATTGTTGGTGGCCATCGGGTGATAGATCTGTTCCTGCCGAGTGATGCATCTGGTGCTCTCGCAGCTGCGGGCCGGGCCGTGTCGGCTCCTTGCGGGGGCTTTTGTCGACGATAAGCGGACTCCCCCCCCCCCCCCACGCAAACCTCGCCATTCGTTATAACAGGCGCTTCCTGGCAGCCAGCGCCCGTAAACAGGGCACGCTCTCGACACAACACTTCCTGTTGGGGGCTCGGCAGCGAGGCAGGATGTTTGGGTGCGAGGGTCCCATAAGGCCCCCCCCCCCGCACTACCACCTCTAACACGTGGGACTTGGCTGACACAACATTAATTTGTGTTTACACAGCCATCGCCGAAGCTCGCGCCGACATGTGATGGGATCTGCTACGTTCTTTGGAACTGACATATTCGTTCCGGATAAGTTTTATTTTCGGCTGGGCACAAAAGTCGAGACCTGCACGTTTTCTGCGACATATTTTGTGGAGAGTCTACGACGAATATCACTGAGGTATATCGCTCTTTTTCAGAAGCGACCTGGCCACCAAAAATGATAGCTCAACGAAGTGGCTTATCATCACGTTGACATTTATAGCAGTCAAACCCTCTACAAAAATGTGAAGGGAAAAACCAGAGGGCCAGGAGACAAATCCACGCGACCACGGGGAGAAAAACATGCAACCTCCAAATATACAGCATGCGTCTGCGTGGGGATCGAACCCACAACCTCCTGCATACCAGGCGAGCTAGTTAATATCTTGCTGCCGCGGTGCTCCATACCAAACGTGAGGATGCTGTTCACGGGTGTACAACAAGTGTTCACGTTTAAAAACAAAGAGACACAATAGCAATGACAACAATAATCACCATCATCACAAACCTGGCCGGTCTTAAAAGTGACGAAGTCATATTTGTGTTGTAAATAAAATAAAAATCCCGTTGCGATTTGCCACCACCAGGCACCACCAGTGCGGCGTGCTGATCTTCGTTGTCAGGGCGAAGCGTGTTGTTGGAAGCGGCGTTAGAAGCCATCGAGGTGGTTATTTTTCCCCTCTTAAGAGCGGAAATTCCGCACCAGCCCGGCCACACAATTAGCGGGCCGCTGGCAGAGAGCAGCGCGCTTTGTTGTCAGCCCACGGGGTAGGGTGGCAGGCGAGGAAAACAAGCGCCTGGAGACTTTGCTCCACATCACACGAGCAAGGTCAGCGTTAGAGATGCAATTCGCTTGCCAATGCCGTCGATGGCACCGCACCTCGCCATCGCTTCCTTCTGCCAGATCCATCATCTGGCGGCTGTGGCGCGGTCGCGACACGCGGCCAGAGAGTTCCGTCTCTACGCCTGGATTGCGTGCGATGTGTGTACGTCTGTTTGCATGTATGTCGAACCTCTTTCGCACCGTACGTCGCCAACCGTGCTCATCGGAGGTGCGAACTTATGTCGCCAGGCATTTGTGTGTGACGCATGAGTACTTGTCTTGCGATGGGCGTGTGTGGTGGGGTCTCCAGGTGAACAGTCCCAAAACAAAGCGACGAATGCAAAGTTCCACGTCACGTCAATTTCACCGTTCTGTTGTCAATGCGATAGCAGCAGGGGCACTTTGATGAGATGCCCTCTACTCGACTCGGGTCGCCTGCCACTTTCGCCACCGTAGACTAAACCCTCACGCGTTTCTCAGCCAGCACTGGATGTCTATTATGGAAAAAACTAAATCTGTGCGGTAGGCGAACTGTAATGAAGTTCAACAACACTGTATACCAGCAGATCCAATTTCTGCCGCCCGATCACAGGGGGGGGGGGGGGGGGGGCAATTCCCCGACTGACCTGGGTCAAACCCAGACAGGTGGCGAGTCCATTGCGGACATATAAATTGCAGAGTGTTCATACCTGTCAACCAACCCCTTATCAGTGTCTACCTTATTAGAGACATATTCAGACATTATTGGTCACCCCGTGCCCCCTTTAAATATCAACGTTCAACCTAAAAAGTGCGATCACAAGGGAGAAATAAAAACAAACAGATCGGTTTTTTGCCAGTATTGAAACGGCCGTACACCGTATGGACCTGCAAACGCAATTCCCCTGTACAAGAATACGGGGCAAACCGTATGGGTTGACAGGCATGAGTGTTGATCGTTGAAGCCAAGTGGCCGTTAACCTGAATGTGTTGTAAAGTTTGTTTAACACGTAGGCTTTCGCGACCAATGTTATTCATAATCAACGATTTTTGGGTTTAGATCGCGTTTATTTATAAATGTGTCGTAACCCTCCACCACCCGACACGGCCAATCAGTAAAAAATGTGTCACGTTGACAAAGACAAATAGTTCACTGCTTTAGCCCACCGGTGTGTTGAAGCAACAACATTCACAATTTGAGTACGACGTTTCGCTGGTAATTACAACCAGCATCATCGGGCAATTCGCCAGAATGGTGAGGCTCTCCTGTGTCTCCCGTTCTTATATAGAGCAGCAGCAGGATGACGTCATCATTAACTCATTAACTCATCAGGTGCAAAGATTCAAGGGGGGAGTGATTGTAATTATATACTAGATTAGTAATCAGGCTATTGTTACGATGCGAGTTGTAGATTAGTAATCATTTGGAATGTGTTTTATTGTGATTATGCTACATTAGTAATCTGTTAGTGGTTGTTTCCCTTATAAGTAATTGTAATGTATCTTATTTAATAATACGCTTCCAGGCCGCACTAAGCCTGTAGCTGTCTGAGCGATTAAAGTTATTTCTGTTTCTCTCAATTTCAATCGATTCTCTAATTAGTCTTTGCCAGTAGTAACTAGTTTTACACAACACTTCCACGTTGTCAAAATCAATTGAGTGTCCCTGTTGGCATGCATGTTCTGCTACTGCCGACAGTTGTGTTTGTGATAGTTTAATATTTCTCTGGTGTTCTTTAAGTCTTACACTAACGTTACGCCCTGTCTGTCCAATATAGCATCTGCCACATACACAATTAATCCGATATACACCTTCTGTTGATAATTTAGGTAATTCGTCTTTAGTGCACGTTACTAGTTGTTGAATTTTGTGTACTGTACCAAATCTTACTGTAATGTTTTGCTTTTGCAAAACACGGGCTAATTTATCAGTTACTCCTGAGATAAATGGTATTTTTATTGTTTTAATAATCTGATCGCTTTCAGCAGTGTTGCTTTGCGATCGTGATTTGGCTTTTAGTGCTCTGTTAATTTGAGCATTATTGTAGCCATTCTGCCTTAGTGCTTCTTTAACATGTTTAATCTCTCTCACTAGACTTTCACCATCTGACACTGTTTTAGCCCGATGTATGAGCGTCTTGATAAGAGAGGATTTCTGAGCTGGGTGATGATGCGAATCTGCATTCAGATAGGCATCAGTGTGCGTTGGCTTTCTGTAAATCACGATCGCAAAGCAACACTGCTGAAAGCGATCAGATTATTAAAACAATAAAAATACCATTTATCTCAGGAGTAACTGATAAATTAGCCCGTGTTTTGCAAAAGCAAAACATTACAGTAAGATTTGGTACAGTACACAAAATTCAACAACTAGTAACGTGCACTAAAGACGAATTACCTAAATTATCAACAGAAGGTGTATATCGGATTAATTGTGTATGTGGCAGATGCTATATTGGACAGACAGGGCGTAACGTTAGTGTAAGACTTAAAGAACACCAGAGAAATATTAAACTATCACAAACACAACTGTCGGCAGTAGCAGAACATGCATGCCAACAGGGACACTCAATTGATTTTGACAACGTGGAAGTGTTGTGTAAAACTAGTTACTACTGGCAAAGACTAATTAGAGAATCGATTGAAATTGAGAGAAACAGAAATAACTTTAATCGCTCAGACAGCTACAGGCTTAGTGCGGCCTGGAAGCGTATTATTAAATAAGATACATTACAATTACTTATAAGGGAAACAACCACTAACAGATTACTAATGTAGCATAATCACAATAAAACACATTCCAAATGATTACTAATCTACAACTCGCATCGTAACAATAGCCTGATTACTAATCTAGTATATAATTACAATCACTCCCCCCTTGAATCTTTGCACCTGATGAGTTAATGAGTTAATGATGACGTCATCCTGCTGCTGCTCTATATAAGAACGGGAGACACAGGAGAGCCTCACCATTCTGGCGAATTGCCCGATGATGCTGGTTGTAATTACCAGCGAAACGTCGTACTCAAATTGTGAATGTTGTTGCTTCAACACACCGGTGGGCTAAAGCAGTGAACTATTTGTCTTTGTCAACGTGACACATTTTTTACTGATTGGCCGTGTCGGGTGGTGGAGGGTTACGACACATTTATAAATAAACGCGATCTAAACCCAAAAATCGTTGATTATGAGTTGTAAAGTTTGTCTGAGATGGATTTGTTTAGGACGAGGAAGGCGGGCAACCTGCGGATCGGAGCCGCATGCTGCTCCTTAAGGACCCGGCTCCGTCACCGTTATTCACACGCATTGCGCGCCCTTGAAATATCGAGTTCTTTTTCGTTTCACCGAATCGCAAATAAAAATTGCTCTTGTTATTTTGGTTGCCGACCCCTGGTTTAGGAAGCCCTGCATAATGCGTGCGCCCCAGCAGTGTAACGAGCAGCGTGGGGCAATCAGGGGATGCTTTGGCCCGCACTGGTGGCCAAGGCTACGAGTTGGGGCCCCCTTGACAACCGCCGTGAGATGTGATTTTCAACGACAGTGTAAAAGAACAACACTTATTGAAAACGCGGTTTAAATAATGTTTCCATTA